ATACTCAAGCGCTTGTGAGAAGCCAATAAACTGCTTTTCTCACTCTTCGGTGCTAAGCTACAGTTTGTTGTACATTTTTAAACAAAACCTTTGCCCTCTGAGCTGTTATTTTTTTTTCTTTTTCTTTTTTTTTTTCCTCCAAAGTTCCACCTGCAAAAGATCCAACTGTAAATACTCGAATGTCAGAATCAGCACTATTGTATTATGGATTCATTCCTTTAGATATGAAATCATCCTAAAAGGCACCAGAGGATTTCTGAGTCCATTCTTTATTTTTTGGACTTGTGAACACGGGCTTATTTTCTCTGTTTTCCTCTTTCCTCTCCCAAAGTAAATGTTTTTCCTGGGGAAAAAATGCCAAATGGAGCACTGAGCCCCTGCAGGCTGGAGTAGATTTGTTGGGGTAACGACATCAATCATTTAAATCCTCTCCAGCCCTTGCACAGGACAAAATGCCAAGGCCAAATGAAGTGCCAGAGGGAGCAGGAACCCTCCACACCCCCTCCATCTGCAGTGCTGCCCAGGGCACAGCCTGCAATGGGCACTCCCTGCCCCAGCCCAGAGCACCCCCAGCCCCATTTGCTCTCCCTGGGCTCCTGTCTCTGCTTTAACATTTGTTTTAATGCACTTTGCTGAGATTTTAGGTAAATACTGTGGGACAGGCCTGCTGAGGGAGGCAAACTCTGAACCCGACATTAACCAGTTCCACTCAGAAAAAAAACCCCAAAAATCATGAGAATGTTTTCCTTGTTCCAGTGCCACATCCCCTGCCACGCAACTTCAGTCGCTTCAGACCGTTTTTTGCACTAGTTTTGTTTTCTTTATCTATGATGAGACTAAAATAAACCCGAACAAAAAGCAGCACAAGTCAGAAACTGTGGCCAGAGAGCGAAAAGCTGCAGTTGCTTTTTGTATGGAGAGATGCTCTGTCTGGATGGTCTGGGAGTGAGGTTATGGAGCTGCAGGTCCAAGTGGGACTGAGCACCGCCCTGAGAGCACTCAGGAGGATGCAGAGAGGCTCAGAAACCTTTGGGTTTGGGGCTGGGGCAGGGCCTGAGGACTACAAACCATCTTGTGCTCGAGGCACAGTTCAGAAGGGTAAAGGAGCATCCTGGGCACTGGCAAAGATTTGACTTGTTACTGGTTGCAGCTACGACCCAGGGAGCCCCTGCTCCTCAGCTGCTGCTGCTGTCCATGACCAGAGATGAACCTTTCTGCAGGAACAGGGTTGCTTTGCAGTGGCAGAGCTCTCTTTTCAGATGGGGTTCATTCTCCCCTGTCCTTGCCAACCACCCAGACAGGGGTCTGTGCCCATGCTGGGCTGGGCGAGCAGCTGGGCTGGAGTCTGAGCACAAGCTGCTCACGTGCAGAGCAGAGACAGCACAGGGGCACAGACATCAGAGCCAGACCTGACCCAGTTAGCTCAGGTCCAGATTTGCCTCACCCAGCAGGCCTGTCATAAAGCATTTACTGATAATCTCAGCACCTCCCTGTGCCCCGCTGCCCCGTGCTTGATGCTGCTCTCACTCCAGAGTTGGAACCATTCCCTCACACAGGATGGTGCCAGTCCCTGTCTCCTCCCATTTCCTTTGCTCCCAGCTCAGCTCTGCTGCCCTGAACTGACAGCCTGTCTGGCAGCACCTTGTCCTCCTGTGCAGTGGGATCTGCAGGGCACCCAGCAGGTGTGGGGGGCAGGAACACAGTGCAGGCTCCCCCCTCCCTTCACCAGAACTGCCAGACCCAGGGAGCTCTGGGGTTTCATCACTCGGCCTTCCTCTCACCCAGATGGGGGAGAATGCCAGACAGAGGGAGCTTCTCAGTCCAGATGGACTGAGATGGACTCTGGCAGCTCCACTGCCTCAGAGGAGATGGGGAGGCCAACAGCTCCTCAGGGAGGAGAACTGTCAGACTGAATGACAAGGGGATGTCCAGGAAACAAATCACTGTGCCCTTGCATGGGGGGCAGGAAATGATTTGCTGGTGCCCTGGGTACAAGTGCAAAGCAGGTCCAGGAGGGAGAGAGAGCTCCTTTCACCAAGGAGCTGGATGTGAACCCCCTTGTATCTAGCAGTATGATAACAGAAGTGCAGAGGTTGTGCCAGCAGAGTGTGAGACAAACAGTTTAACCCTCAAGCTCTCAAGGACTGAAACGTGTCCAGCATGTCTTTCCATCTGCACTCACCCAAAGGGGGGCCTGACTCACAGCTGGGCTTTGGATGTGAATTGCAGGAGGAAAATAAACCATCAGCACCCCTGACCTGCTCCAGCCAGCACTGTTTGATCTGGAGAATGGTCTGGATGAAGAGCAGGTTGGGTGGCTCATCACCCACCCACCCCCTCAAAGTTTTCCAGGGCTCCCCATTGCCAGCACTGTTCTGTTCATCCCACAGATAATAGAATTTGATGTGGCACTGACAGATCCTCCAAATAAAGGGGCCCAAATGCCTTGTTCACCCTTGTGGTCTGGATGTGAAACCAGTGGGAGTGCCTGAGGTACTCCAGGTTAGAGGATCTCTCTACAATCAGTGGGACAGGGACCACAGGGATCACAGGGACCTTCCCAGAGCTGGGATTTTATGAGGGTCTCAATGACTACCAGTCAGCAGCCCCTCTTGCCTCCCCACCAAGGCTCATCACCTCCTTTAGGTGTCCAAATTTAGATGGGGTGGATGTGGAAGATGGTGTCAGAACACCCAGGAGGCAGGAAATGAACCCATTTCAGTGGAAATGCATCCTTCAACAGAAAGTCACCTTTAATCCCAGGAATAAAAACTCCTTAACCAGGTGGCACCAGAGCCTCGAGAATGAGGAGCCAGTTGTGAGTCTTTCTAGCAGGGAGACAGAAGCTGGAGATCCAGGATGTGTGAACGTAGGGACAGGCTGGATATCAAAAGGCTGCTGTGGCTGAGCTTTATTTCCCTCTGAGCAGCCACAGGGGGGGAAGAGTGTCCCAGCTGTGCCTCAGAAGAGACAACTGAAGCAAAATGGAGACACTATTTGATCCGAAATTTAGTGGAATCACCAAAATCAGCACGGGCAGCTCGCTTCTCACATTTTTGGTTGTTTTTCTGGAGAGCAGCTGTGTGTGTCCATGGACACAGCACCATGGGGGCTGTTTCTCCTCTGTCTCCTGTGTCCCCTCTCCTGTGGTGTCTCCTCTGACCACGGCCCCTGTGCTGTGATGCCGTAGGGTTGCACTCTTGGTCCAAGCCTTTCCTTCTGTCCTTCCCATCTGGCTGATGAGGAGCCCTGGGAGGGCTGGGAGGGCAGGCTGGGATGTGGGGGGTTTGGGGACAGGATCCTGCAGAAGCTGTGGCTCAGGGTGGGGGCTGCTGCCTGACAGGGATCTGGGGGCAGAGGTGCTGGGATCAGCAGCATCAGCAGATCAGCCAAGCCGTGGCATTTCCTGGGAACTCCACAGCCTCGTCCAAGCCACTTCCCACCCCCTCCTGCCTCTCCTTCTGCCTTGGACTGAGTCTGCAAACTCTCAGGGGGATGGATTGTCACTCAGAGCACCCCAGTGGGACCTGCACAGACACTGCCTGGGATCCAGGGTGCCGAATCCAGCCTCGGGAAGGATGGACCCTTCCCCTGGGATGCTGCAGGATCTCTCTTCTCCCTGACCAGCCAGCCCTCTGGCCCCCACCCCCAGCAGGGCTCAAACCAGGGCAAAGCTTTTTCCTTTGTTCCATCCCAGCCCTGCTCTCCGTGGTTCCAGCTGGTGAGGAACAGGCTCACACGTGGCACAGCAAAGAGGGGATTCAGCAAAGGGAAGTGGGTCCCAGAGCAGGGACCCTCTTTAACAGACAAAGACATTTTTTCTGAAGCAAAGATGAAAAATGTTTCTGGTTTTTTTTCCTCTTTTTTTTTTTTTTGTTTCCTATCAAGCTGGACTTAATACCTGGAAAAATATCAACATTTTAAGACCATAAAACACAGGGACTGGCTTCTTTTGCCTGGTTTAAAGAGAGGCCCTGGAAAAGATATGATCCTTAATGTTGTTTTGTATGCTCATTAGTAATTCAGACTTTCCATAAACAATATCCTGGTTTACCCTGTTGTTATGAAAAGGAGGAGAGAGGAATAGAAAGAAATAGAGAAAAAAAGAGAAGAGAAAGAGAAGAAGGAAAAGAGAGAGAGAGAGAAAGGAAATTCAATAATCAGCCTGTGATTTGAAACTTGATTCTGACTCGAGCATGCACGAAATCTTGAGGACATACTGGGCAATTAAGTGACAGGCAACCATTAAATATATTAAATAAATGTGGGAGTTTCACTAGTGCCTGCAAAGACAGGATCTGCCAGACTGCAGCTACTACCAGGGCAGAGCACATCCAGGAGGTGAGAAACCAACACAGTTTTTGGAGGCCAATCCCCCTCCCAGGGATCCCAGGGATGGTTTGAACCCGGTCCAGGCAGGAAACTCCCCCAGATGTGTGAGGTGATGAGTGGGGAGAGGAGGAGGAATGGAGTGGGGAGTCACAGGGGGTCTGAGAGCAGCTCTGAGCCCACGGGGAGGGGAGGCAGGGACGGACTGACTGTCTGTCTGTCTGTCTGCAGAGCCAACCAGCACAGGCAGCTCACGCTCCTCTCCTGTGGCTCCAGGTGAAAAAACTGCCCAGAGCCAACGTGGAGTGGATCCTCTCCTGGGAAAGTGGTCCTTGCAGAGGGCTCTTTGCAAACCTCTCGCCCAAGATGCGTCCCTTTGTGCCTGGACAAAGGTGCAACAAGACCGGGGTGAGAATGGCCCTGAATTTAACCCCTATCTGCCTCCCCCCAGCGTTCTGGCCCTGAATTTAATCCCTATCTGCCTCCCCCCAGCGTTCTGCCCCTCGGGATCAGCACTGCTGGGGCAGCCCGGGGGTCTCCAGGTGGTTTTGCTGCTCCAAACCCCTGCCAAGCTCACCCCAGATCCCCAGGCAGCTTCTGTGACACGGTAGGATTGCGTGAGCTTGAAAGAAACCCGAGCTGGCAGCCTGCTGCCTTTTAAATCACACGAGGGGGGCTGGAAGACAGTTTTAGGAAGCTGTTAACTCGCTCCTGGGCTTTGTTAGGCAGCCCCGTGTGAGCTCAGCCTGTGTGGAGTGTGCCTGGCACTGCCAGGAGTTGCTGCCTCCCGCAGCAAGGGGCTCATTCCCTGGCTACCTTCGGGTCTCTGAGTCACCAGCCAACCACTCAAACTGTCTCATTCCGTGATAAAACATCCCTGCAACAAACCCAGGCCCATCTGCAGCTCATTACTAAAGCCAGCCTTGCTCATAAACCCTGCCTTCCCAAGCTGCTCCTGCCACCTCGGCCACTCCGTAAATAATAAACTGCAGACTTGAGCTATTTTCTCCCAGATTAAGAGGAAGACTTGCACTGATAAGGTCATCACCCCAGAGGGGTTCTATAATAACCTGGTCTCTTGTTGCAGAGGCAGCACTGAAAGCTGTGGGTGTTCTGGTTTATCTTAAAAGAGCCAGTGAAAAGCACTGCAGTGTGAGAACATCTGGAGCAGGATCCCCAGTTTTCTCTTGGGTCTCAGTACCAGAAAAGCAGAGTTTTCTGCTGGATGTAGCCATGCTAGGTTTGGCTTTCTACTCCCAGCAACAGAGAGGTACAAAGGGGTGTTTTCTGCTGAAGCCAGTGAGGAGGTTTGGGGATTTACCCCAAACGAGAAAAACAAACTTACCAAAAGTAGTGACAAGTAACTAATTACACATGGCCACTGAACTCCAGTTGTACCAGAGGCAGTTTCCCACACTGCAGACAAGCACTCTGCCTGAATTGAGCAGGAAAAAAGCAGCAGGAAACCCACTTTCCTTGATGCCTTGATATGGTCTGGTCTATCCAGATGTTAAAGCAATATTTGTGTTTATACCATCCTGCTCTGTTCAAGCAACCCAAAAGCTGCGCTTGTTGAGGAACACAGGAACCCAAACCCAGTAAAGAATTAGAAATAATGAAGAGCTTATTTGGGGCACCAGTTCAGTCACACTGGCTTGTGACCAAAGCTCCCCACGTGCACACCTGTGGACATCCCCCGTGCATCTGAGGGCCCACAGTGGTTCTGTCAGTTCAACCTCCCGTTCAAACCCTACTCCTGAGCTGACTCATCACTTCCCATCTGTGCCCAGCCCTCCAGACCTGCCATAGCCCTGAAAACACCCCCTGCTCTGCCAGCTGGACATCTCTGACCACACCGTGCAGGACTGGAGCAGCTGGGGAACCGAGTGGAAAGGGAACAATCAGAGCAAACTCCTCCAAAAAAAAAAGTGAAACACGATGATGCAGCCAAATTCGAGCGTGGGAATGAGCTTAATAGCCTCCATCTCTGGCCCCTGCCAGAGTTCAGGAGGAGTGGGCATGTGCATATCAGCAACAGGCCTGATTGCTTCTGCAGGAGCTGGGTTTGGCTCATCTGTGCTGTGGGATGGGTGTCATTTCCAGGAAGATCTGCTCATTCTTCCCGCTGTCTTTCTGGAAAGAGGGAGCTGGTGTTGGACAAAGCCTGGGTGACACATCAAAGGCACACCTCACACCAGGCTCTGACCTTTCTCGTGGGGGTTGAATAACAAAACCTACTGGGTATGAGGAAAAGAGAGAAAAACTCAAATGAAAAAGGAAACGCAGTCTTTTGGCAGCAATTACTGGAACAACTCATCAAGGGCAGTGGTAAACATCCCTCTGGAGAGGCAGAGAGAGCCCTGCAGCCTCCAGAAATCAGTGATTTGAGGAGGATCCTTCTGGCTGCAATTTATCTTTGGGCAAAGAAGCCAGGGCATGACTCAGGACAGGATCTTCCACGATGTGAACGTGAGATGAACACAACTTGATGGCTGTTTTCACATTACATGACTCAGGACATGACCCTGTGCAGTGCTAATGAAAATGGAAATTAATTGTCCACTGAAGATTGTCCTGCCAGGGCTTAGTGAGAAATAATTCCCATCCCTGCAACCCCTGTTTGGTGGATTTGCCTTGGATCCTGACCTGACTTCTAAAGGCATAACTTGGTGTTTCTGTGTGGGATGATCAAGGTTTGACTGGGATTCTCTCCCTGTAGGAGCTGGGTTCTCCCTGTCTCACCAAGAGGCTGCCCAGCTCCAGGGCCAGCTTGGCTTTGCTCTCCCAGCCCTGAGCAGCCTGATGAGCAGATCTCCAGGCTTTTGGCTTTGGAGCTGCTAGTTCCAGGAAAAAGAGCTAATGTTTAGGTTTACTTTTCCATGGCTGTTAGTGGAAAGCCACGCTGCAGCAGTGTGTGTGTGTGTGTGTGTGTGTGGAAAGGGTACGATCTGGTTCCCAGGCTCCTCCTCACCACAACCCCCTGAGCTGGGGCTCCACGATGGGTTCAACAGCAGCTCCCTGCCGGTGCCTGTGTGGCTTCCAGTCTGCAGGGGGAGAGGAATCATCAGGCAAGCAGCGACACGGGGTGTGGGGTGACTCGGGGGTCTGCACGGCTGGTTTTGCTCTCAGTCTGGTGTTCAAGGGAGGGGGATTTGAAACTGGATCTCCTGGTTTCTGCTCTTTGTTTCAGGGGGAGGTTTCTATTCGTGACACTAAAATCAGGCAATTACTTTATATCTGAATTTCCTCACCTCTAAAACGGGCTCCTAACTGAAAACCCAGGGGAGTTTCCAGGATGGCAGATTTTGCTGGTGAGCCCTGTGATGTTCCCTGGTAATCAGTAATACCTGTGGCCATCCCCACATCACCCCTCACCGGGGCTACCCTTTAATAGAACACATTCCATGCCTTTCAGTGAACTCACTGGAGGTCTGTGTGGCAGAATTTGCTCCTCAGTATCCAGAGATGAACAAACAGCTACAGCTGTTTTCACACTTGGGGCAGGGTACTTGCCCAGGATCCTGCAGGTACTTCTTGCTTTCACACCCAGGATGGGGGGGTCTGACTGGAGAAATCCATGGATTCAACTGGGCTCTAGTTTAAGTCATGCCTTGGATTACAGGTGAAGCATCTGCTGCTCTGGTGCCTTGGTTTGGGGGTGGGTTTGTGTGCCTGGCAAGCCCCTGGTTGCTGATGTAAGACCCAGGGTTCCCCTCACAACTTCTCAGAGCAGATGGACCCAGACACCGTCCAAGTTTTTTCAGCTGGGGCTGCTGCTTATTTTCAGGAATTCATTGCAATCCCACAGGAAACAATGACCTGGCTTTCCCATAAGGATAAGGAGAGCAAGTCCAGCCCACTGCTGGAAGCTGCAGGAGGGAAACACAACACAAACGCAGCATCAACATTCCCTCAGCAACAAACAGGCATGGGAGGGATGGGTTCCCTGGACATTCTCTCTGCAACTCTCTGAATCCTAAGAGAACCCAAGCACCTACTGCAGCGTTTAATGTGAGAATTCACACACCTGGACACTTTCCTGCATCTGGTCTCCTGGGTCGTGCAGTTCCACCCCCACAGCGCAGAATTACCTCCAGGAAGGCTTTTACTCCAACAGTTATTTCATTTACCCACAGCTGCAGAACTACTCACTCCACGCAGAGGAAAGTCTGAACCAGGGTGTTCCACTGGCTTGTTTAAAACAAACGAGGAACCCCCCTCCTTTCTCAGCTCGTTACACCAAAGGCTGCCCTTTCCATGAGCCCCACACGGGAATATCCCCTGAGCAGAGCCTGCCCAGCCCTCCCTGCTCTGGAAACCTCAAGTCAACATTACCCAGGCTGAGTTCTTGCCTCAGCTCAAGTCATCCTTTGCAGGAAAAGCTCAGCTTGTAAAACCCCTTGTGATGGCTTCAGTGCTGCTCTAAAATCTGGACAAACCCTGTTTTCTGCAGATTCTCAGAGGAGCAAAGTGCCTGGGGCTGAGGAGGGTGGGAGGGGAAGAGGAACCGGAGTGGAAACACAAGCACCTGCCTTTGCATCAAGAGGGGAGGTGGCACTGAGTCAGCTGGAGGAAACACCCCCCCATCTGTGTGCTTGCACCAAGATTTCTGTCCTGTGGCAAACAGGAATATATCCTGCAGGTTTTGCCCAGCTGGACGGCCCTGAAGGTCTAATCCCCTGTGCCCCTGGTCCAGGGGAGCATTGCTTTGACCCTGCAAGGCTTTGGCTCTCCCCCTCCTGCAGCCCAGTCTCCAGAGGCAGTGCCTGCTGGGGGCTCTAACTCACATGAACACACACACAGTGCAGTTTTGGCTGGAATTCCACGCTGCTGCTTCCTGGAGCCATGGAACGGGCTGGCTTGGAAGGAACTTTAAAGCCCATCCATTCCCACCCCCTGCCATGGGCAGGGACACCTTCCACTAGCCCAGGTTGCTCCAGCCTGGTCTTGGACACTTCCAGGGATCCAGGGGCAGCCACAGCTTCTCTGGGAATCCCATCCCAGCCCCCCCCCCCCACCCTCACAGGGAGGAATTTCTTCCTAATTTCTTCTTTGGAAGGCGCATGGAAACTGTGCTGAGGGAGAATGAACCAGCAAGAAAAGCTGTTCCTTGTGGTTAAAGGAGGATTTGAACTACATTAACAGAACATTCCAGCTGGTCTGGTAGATCCCCTGTTTAGTGCTCACTAGAATCAGCACCAGCACGTTGTCCTGGTGTTTCTCACTGCAATTCCCTGTTCCTGCTCCTGCCCCTTTCCTCAGATGGGGCCGAGGTTCTGCTTTGATTTTGCACCTGGACAGCCCTTGGCTCTCTGGATTTGGTTGAAGCTGATGCCTGGAGCACAAGATCACACCACTACAACCACCAAGCGAGGCCCCAGGCTATGTGGCAGCACCGTCCCACTCCTCCCAACCTGGATTTACCCTCCTCCCATGTCAGCACCGTGTGGGAAGTGAGAGACGGGGAGTTATTCCCCAGCTCGGTCTCTGCAAGCACACAGCACTCTGCACCAGACAGGGAAAGGAGATTTGGGTTTCTGGGAGTTTGAATTTTGCCAGAAATAAAGAATCATTCCCATTCCTCAGCTGGTGCAGCAGCCAGTGCTGATTCCCCCTGTGAAACGCCCGACTGAAGCAGATTGAAGGTTATTAAAAGACATAAGAAGGGACGGGGAAGAAGGGAATTTTACTGTCGCGTGGCAGTGATTCAGGCTGGTTTTTACTGCCCTCTGAGTATTTTAGACACAATAGTGGTCACCCACTCCGCTGGGGAAAGGACAGGAAAGCCTCTGAGAAATGGAAGGTGATTAAGTGGCTTGGCCAAGGTCACCCTGTGTGCCAGTGGCAGAGACACCTCCAGGCTTTGACTCCCAGTTTAGCACCCAAAGCTGCCCACAAACCTGCAGCTCTTTTGGGCATCTCAGATCTGGAATTACAATAGCAGGATGCAATTAACAGAGCTATCCATCTCCACAGTGGTTTTCTGTTGTGAATGTTCACACAATTTGGCTGTAAATGTGTCTTATTTCATACTCTGACTGTTCTGTTTATATTTAGACCAATTTTTATGTCAGCACATGCACACACATATTCTTCCTTTCCCAGTAAAAGAACAACTGTGATTACTTTAATGGGCACATTTTCACGTGTTTTGTGGCCTCACCCTCTCATCACAACTCACCCCAATCTGTACCAGAGCCCTGTCACTGAGATCCAACACAGTATCAGTTTTATGTGATTCCAACCATCCTGGTTCTGGAAAAAGCCCCTCTCCCTGCACCTTCATTAATTTAGGTAGGATCCATCTTCACACATAATTACACATGGGCTTGTTGTACTTTTTCTCCCCCTTTATGCCCTTCTGTATTTATCTGTACAGACACAAAACGAAAATGCAATTAATGCAATAACAAATTCAAATATAATTTGCTCCCTGATTGAAGGGCTCCTGGCCAAGTCTGAGCTTGAAACACATTTCAGTAATCCCATAAATTCCTGCCAGAACAATGTTTAACACGGAAATGCAACTGATACATCAAAGAGACAAGAGTTGTCTGGGTCCTGTGAGCAATTTGCACAAATAAGCATTCCTGTGCTCCACTGTAAAAATGATGAAGTTCTCTAAAAAATGTATATTTATTTTTACATCACCCCATCTGATGATGATTCCAACACAGAAATAACCTCATTAACGCCGACAAGAATGCAAACCTCGTCTCTCGAAAATGTGAGAAGCCCACAGGAATCCCGTGTGACTCTCACTGCCTCGCCTTATTGGAACCATCTGTGTCTGCTGGTAACCTCAGACCATCTGCCCCCAGGTCTGTCTCCAAAAAAAGCCACAATTTCACCACCTTTTTGTGCTCCTCAGCCTTTCTGGGATCGAAGGTGCCTTGTTAAAACCCATCTGCAGGGCAGACCAAGGGTTGCTCCACGTTTACTCCTGCCAGGCACCCCCAGGGGTTGCTGTGTGATGATGGGCTCTCCAGCTGCTGGAGCTTTCCAGGAGCTGTGGCTCAGGCTGCTGCCATGCTCTGGACAGGGATCCCTTCCCTTCTGGCACTTCCCTTCTCAGCTCTGTCTCCACCACCATCCAGCCCTGCACCAGCACTGCCTGCTCAGTTATCCCATGACTGAGGGATCCCTCTCTTGTTGCAGAGAGGGAACAGCCCCACAGTGTCTCCACCTTCGTTCACAGGTTCAGGGCACAAACAGCCAAGACAAGGGACTGTCTGAGGCCACAGGGAGGAGGAGGAGGAGGAGGAGGAGGAGTGGAATCTTCCCCCATTATCCACTGCAATGGATATAAACTGCAAACGTTTAGTCCCTGCCCTTGCAGCACTGTCTGCTTACAGACTGATGTGAACCCCAGGGCAGGGGACACCTTTCCTGACAAATCAATGGATCCCTGGAAGTCGTGTGGGCTGCAGCAGATAAACAGCAACAATTGCTCGGTGTGGGGTTTGAAGTGGAATCCGTGTGTCATTCTATGCAAGGAATCTTCAGAGCAGCTCAGCTCGTGTGCTGGCAGGGGACACAGCCACTGATTATAGCAAGGGATTGCTTATATATGAAAATGATGTAACCCTGGGATTCAGTCCAGCTCCTTTCCAGGCTCCAAAGCAAACAGAGATGCCTTTCAGTTATTTTTCATCTGGCTTCACTTTTTTTATCTTGATCAGTGGGTAAATTAAGGAGCCCATTCGACAATGCTAAGTCTGAAATCTGCTTCCCTTTGTTCAGGAAAGAGAAGAGAAGGAAGGAGGCACAAACTGCTATCAGAACAGCTCCTCCTTGTAGCTTTTAGGAACATCATATGGTCAAAGGCTCCTGCCTGCAAATTTCAAAATCCTCTTCACTAGCCATAAAGTTTACCTGAAAGGGTTTGGATATTTATCCAGGCTGAGAATGCTCTGTGACCTGGTCCCTGCAGCACCCTGAGGGAGGAGAGCAGGCAGAAAAAAGCTGGAAAACTGGAGCAGCCCTGCCCAGTGCAGCAAGACCTCAAAGGCTGCAGCTTTGTGCCCTCTGAGACCAGCAGGGCTGGGTCTGCTCTGGGCACCAGGGCTGGAGTTCCAAACCATCTGTGCCTCCACTTTGAAACACACCACTGGTTGGGAGTTCAGAGCCAGCTTTGGGAGCCCCTTTGCTGCCAGGCTGGGGAGAGCATTCCTTTAGCTGTGCTTCCCAGCAGAACAGGATCAAATCCAAACCTGCCAGTGGGCACCTCTGAGAGCCCACGGACACTGCTGAAGGTTTGGCAGCCTGGGGAGGACCAAGCCTGTCCTTATTGTGCCCCTGATCCAACAGAGCTGCATGGAATCACATGGACAGAGGAATTTCTATCTGGGCTCACCACTGCCAAAATGACTTTTACACCAGGAGCAGAGGGATGAGCATCCAGGAGCCTGTGTGTGCATCTGCAGGGCTGCCTGGATGTGACTGTCCTCCACATGCTGTCCCTCAGCATCTCCTGCACCAGGAACATCTGAACCTGTTGGATTCACCCCGTTGGCCCCAGTCTGCAGGTCAGGCCAGGGAGGTGACGTGCCTGACCTCAGAGCCCTGTGTCAGGACACACCTCCCCCAGTTCCTGTCAGCCATCCCACACACCACCACTGCATCCCTGGGACCTGACCAGCCCTGGAAATAGATGTTCCTGCCAAGGAACCCAGTGCCTAGGCCATTCAACCACCACCAAAGTGGTCCTGACTTTGGAGAGCAAAGCAAAGCTGTTCCAAGCCGGAGAGGTTCCCAGAGCTGTGTCCTGGGCTGGAGGAAGGAAATGATGGAGACAGCACTAAACTAACATTATCAGACATCCACTGTGTGTTTATGGGCAATCCACAGACCCTCTCACTGTGATTCTGGTGGAAGTCTCCCAGCTGATGGCAGGGATTGGATCCAAGCCCACCCACCCCAGCCCTGACTTCCCGGGCAGGGAATTCTGGCCACGTTTGCACGGGTGGAAATTTCCCATCATTTCAGTGCAACGTTTGCTCCTTTTCGTTCTCAGCACTGTCCTGCAGACACGGGTTTCATTTCAGAGAGGATTTTCTGTGGAGTTGCTCCTTTCCCTTGGTATCTTTGCCTTGCTAGGGAGGCAGACTGCTCTCTCTGCCCCAGGACTCTGCTCTGAGGGCACTGGCAGTCAGCACTGTCACACCAGAGCAGTGATGTGTTTCATGAGAGAATATTTGATGTTTGCTGACCTGGGAGAAGCCACAAGCCTTGGAGCAGCCTGAATCCTTCAGCCTTTGCATCCCAAGATTGAAGAGGCATTTAAATGTCTCTTAGAAGAGCAGTGGCACAGAGGAGAACAGGAAGGGTTTGGCAGGGATCCAGCAGGGCTGAGAGTGTCCTTATTCTGCGAGCTGCAGATTTTGCAACTATTTTTGCAGCCTTTTGCTTTTCTTTTTGACTAATTTGGCTCCCAAAGCACAGCTGTGTTTCTGGCAGCTGAGTTTACAGCAATATTGCCTCATCCATTCCTGGTCCCTGGCACAGGAGCCTCGAAATGTTCTAAAGCCAACCTTCCTGATGCCCAGCAAAATCACTTTCTACGGCTACAAAGGAGAAAGGGAGGCAGGACAGACTAAACCAGCATCCAAGTGATGGGAATCTCTGCAGAAAGATGGGAGATGAGTCAGAAACTGCACAGCTGAACCCAGTGCTTGAAAGCTGGATGCTTCTCCTTAGTCTAAATCTGAAATAGGGAAACAAAACCCACACATTTTTGCTGAATAAGAAAGCGGAAAACCCGACCTAATTCTGCCATTTCAGCTGTGTAAACTGATGCAAGCCCCTGCAGTGCCTTACAGCGAGTTCTCATACTGGTTTTGCCTGTGCTGTTGGGGGTGACATCACCTGGGAGTTATGTCACTGCTGCAGGGGGATAAACACAAAGCGCTCGCTGCAATCTGAAAGTGATTAACAGCCAGGGGGCTGATGTTCTGTAACACATGCTTGTTCTAAGCAGCCAAACACTCAGGCTCATAGAAGGAAAACAAATGTTTCCAAGAGCTCTCTACCCTTACAGGAGGGTCTGGAAGTGCTTCACATCTGCACAGGGAAGTGCCCAAACACAGCAGTGAGCTGGAGAGAAGCAGGTTATTTTAGCAGCTCCAAGCCTGGGTGCATTTTCAGCCAGCTCCTCTTGCACTCTAAATTATATTGTACCAGGTCAGAGATCCTTTCTAGCTCAACTCAGCCATAAAGGGCTTAATTTACTCTGAGGGTGGATCATACAACACCTGTATGGGCTGACCCTGCTGGTGCTTGTTCTGGCAGGACACAGAGTGGTGTGTCCAAGGGATATGTCACTGGTAACTGATTCTCCCCAGCATAAATGGAAGTGGCATCTGCCATACAAATAATTTTAGCTCGTTGAGTCAAAAAAAAATGATTCACAGGATAGGCTTTCTTCAGACCCTGATTTCTGAGGGACAGTTGCCAGGCACCAGCAATCTGCATGTTTGTTACCAACGTTTCTCCCAGAATTCAGGATTAGTGAAGGCATTTTAGCAAACCTTCCCCCAGGAGGAATAAAATATTAAACCTTCTAATTCACAGTGGGTCACTGGGCCCATATTCAGTAAAACTCCTTACAGGGAGCCAAATGTTACAGACCTCTCTCTGATTCTCCACCCAAAAACTGTCCTGTGCAGTTGAATTTCTTGAAGCTTCCACAATGTTGCAGTTACTTACACTTTGAGAGGAATATATTCCTGAAGCTACTCCAAGCTCTGCTGTTGATTTGTGTCAGAGATGTGGAACCAACTGCATAAGACATTCATACAACTGGCCTTGCACAGACACCCCAACAATCCCACCCTGTCCCTCAGAGCATTGTCCAAACCCTCCTGGAGCTCTGGCAGCCTTGGGGCTGTGCCCACTGCCCTGGGGAGCCTGTTCAGTGCCAACCACCCTCTGGGGGAAGAACCTTTCCCTGAGATCCACCCTGAGCCTGCCCTGACAGCTTCGTGCTGTTCCCTTGAGTCCTATCAAAATATGCAGGAATATCCCTTACTATTCATCCTTCTTACTTTTGTAACTGAGTAAGAGCAGCTCTGTGCCCCAGGAGCAGGACTGTGCTGGGCCCCTTGGATGGGGATTTCTGTCCCAGCTCATCCTTGCACTTGCATCGGCCAGAACCACACGACCTGCAGTTACACACAGCACTGCCTGTTTGTTTCTGAGCTGTGCTGAGTGTCTGCCCTCAGTGCCACATGCCAAGGCAGTCAGGAACTTCAGAGGGATGCTCCTTCTCCCTGCAGTGAGGGGATGCTCCGGGCACAGTACCTTGTCTCCTGGCTGAGGGCGCATCACAGACACGCGGTCGTATCCTTTCCGCAGCAGGACCCAGAGAGCATCCAGCTTGCCCTGGAACCAAAAGAAACAGCGTGTTGGTTGTGCTCTGGGCAAAGTGCAGGGCAGGGGACAGCACAGCTCCCCAGTGCCAGGGCAGCTGAGCCCAGCGTGGTGCCGTGTGATGGCCACTCAGTCCCTCCTGCCAGCCAGGGGGTCACATCACCGACCCTCACGCTGGATCCCCCGGCCCACCCCAGGCACCAGCTCAGAGCTGCACCATTTCCAGGCAATAACACCCACCTTTCAGAGCCCTCCAGCCCCACAGCAGTTCTGAGGAGCTGCTCCCTCCTGGGTGGTCTCGCAGCCAGCAGCCCCTCCCTGAGTGCGTGCACATGCACAGACCCACAGCACAGAGCTGTGCTGAAAGCCCCAGCCTGTTGAAATGTCTCCCTGACAGCCATTTGGGTTGATTTGTGTGGTCCCTGCACTGCAGGCCGAGCGTCCAGCCCTGACAGCAACTCTGCAGCCACGGCACACGCCAAGCGAAGGAGCTGAACATCAGAAATATCCACCCAATCATCTGCTCTGAAATGTACATCAGCTGCTGAAGGATTCCTGCTGTATCCCCCCTCCAACAGGCCAGGCTTTCACTGTCACAGTGGATTTAGCTCCTGAAGACCTGCAGGAGGGTTTACATGAGTGCAGCACCTTGGCTGGCTCAGTGGAAGGTCAAGATTGATTGATCAAACTCTACTGCCATTAACTTTGCCATTTGACCCTCTGTCTGTTAAGAGCACAATACCCAAAGATTTGTAAAAATTTCTGCAGAGGGTGAAGAACAAACAGCATTTATCAGTGTTTCCATAAGTATTGTTGCAGAGGCTCCACGTGCTGTGATATTAAAACATGAGCAAACCCCCAGCAGTAACATTCAGTGCACTTTACTGTGCCTGCAGAGACAGAAACAGGATATTCTGAGAATCTACAAAGGTGTCCTTTGGTACAAAACTACTTTCTGTGGATGAGCAGATCAGACCTGAAGACCGACCCCTGACTGGACCCAGAACCTCCTGTCTGATCACTCCCTGTTTCCTTGAAATAAAGTCTACAACACTTCTGTGAGAGCAGAACTGCCTCGTGGAACTATTGTGGGACAGGATTAACAAATGGAAACGTGAGCAGGTTGTTTTCTGGAGGGCCTGGGTCTGGGCAGTGAACTGCAGTGCCTGTGAAGGTTGTTTGGAAGGTCCTCAGTGACCCTGGTTCCCTGGTATCCAAACCTCTGTGTGTGCTCTCCCTTTCATGGGAGAATCTTCCTCTTCCCTTTTCCAGGAACCATCAGGGCCATAATCCTCTCTGAGGCCTCTATTCCTCAACCAGTGCATGGAGCCAGTGGTTCAAAGCTTATTTGGGAGTTGGAGACATGGGTGGAGACCGACAGGCACACAGAATGACTGCACAGCACTTGTTTCCATAGGATACTGGGAAAAGACTTCCCAAGGTGAGAGCCAGGAAAGTCTGTTACTCTCAGAGGAAGGAGCAAGAAACTTCTCAGTCAGATTCTTCTGCATTTGGACAGCAGAACCCCTCAGACCTGAGGGAAGCCATCCCTTCTATCCCAATCCATCTTTTCCCCTGCAGCAGAGCTGATGGAAGCTCTTGATCTCCTGTCCACTCTGACAACTTCAGAATTAAGTACCTTTTTCTTCCATTTCTCCTTTAGGAAACCAGAGGCAAATTGACAACTTTCCATGGAACAAAAAAAGCCCTTTTTACTCTGCAGTCCTAATTTCCAAGAACCTACCAGGATTTCTTGGGAAAAGCCAAGAGCTCCATCTTTGGGAGTCTGAATGGGGCCTCAGGGTCTGCCTGAGACATCTGGGTGGAAGGGAGGGAGTGTGCAGATGGAAAGGATGATGTTGGTTGAAGAAGTGAGATGGCAATGCATCCATCTGGAAATATAACCCCCTCTGTGCTCTCCAGTGGATGGCTGTGCCTGTATCTGGGAACTCCTCTGCAGCTGAAGCACAAGGTCACTTGGAGAAAAAAGAGAGGCCTGGAGGTAGATAAAGCCTTGAGTCCTACTAGATCTGAAGGCCAGAAAAAAGAACCAGTCAGGGCAGATGACAAATGAAGGAGGGCACAGTTCCAGGCTTTGCTTTGACATGAACCCATTTTCTTCTGAATTCATGGTTAATTCAGCACCATATTGACCCTGGTACATGATCAGTGCTCTGAGACCTGGTGTTGTCAGTCAGAGGCAGTTTTGTAACCTGCCTGTAAATCTCAGCTGCGCTTGGGCCTCCTCCAGCAAGGCCATGTCAGCTCTGTGGATAGGGACAGGAGGGACAGAGCCTGGAGAACGTTCCAGGGTGGGTCAGCAAGGGCTGGAGTGGCCTCCACAAAGCATTCACTGGGGTTTCTTTTTGTCAGCAACGCTTGTTGCTTCAAATTTAGGTTGTAGTGAGGTGGGGGTCAGTCTCTTGTTCCAGGTACCAGGTGAGGAAATGGCCTCAAGCTGTGCCAGGGGAAGTTTTAGACTGGACATTGCGAAAAACTTCTTCACAAGAAGGAGTTGTTTAACCTTGGCACAGTGTCACCACCCCTGGAAGTGTTCTAAAGTGTGGATGTGGCTCTTGAGGACATGGTTTAGAGGTGAACATGGTGGTGGTGGTGCTGCACTGGGGTTGGACTTGATGATCTCAGAGGTCTCTTCCAACCTTAGCAATTCTCTGATTCCCTTCCATCCACGTTTTGTGCTGTCCCTCCCTGTCAGATGAGCTGAGGATTTGGTGAGTTGCTTAAGAAGTTTCTAGGTTTGTCATTCTCCTTGGATTATCTGCACTGACTTTTCAAGCAGCTGAAATGACATTTTAAAAGCGGGATAATCCGGTTGGCACCACGCTAAGGAGTCACAGCAGCAAATCGGGATAATAATAACAATAACCAGTCTGTTAAATATCAGTAGCCACGCTTGGTAGCAAATAAATCTCTGGAGCATTTCAAAGAGGAATCTAATCCACTCTCAGCTGTCTACCTGCTTATAGACATCACTCTGGGAAGATTAAAAAATAGAGGGAAGAAGAACTCCATCATATAAACTCCAAAGGGCTGAACACTCCAAGCAAAGGCTGGTACTTGTGTGCAGCATGGAGAAGAGGAGGTCTGTGGCCAGAAAGATGACTGGCCCTCAAATGTGAATTTCCTGGCTCTGTGTCAGATTCAAGCTACCTTGTTTTGCTGTTCCTGAGCTTTAATTCATCGCCCTTCTCCTTTACCAAGGATTTTTTAAAGCAGCTAGTTACATGCATATTTATCTCACTCCCAAAGAGGTTTTTCCACCAGCCTGGTGGAGGGGGTGGAAATTCAACATCTCCCTTAGGCAGAGGAGCCAAGTGCACTTGGATGGTGGGGATGAGGGAACATTCAAGCTGAGTACCAGGAGCTGCTTCCTGTGGGTGAGACCTTCCCTGCAAATTCACCCCCAGGTGCTCACAGGACAGGAGCTTCTGCCAGCAGTGCTGAGGAATTTGGCCAGTTTTGCCAGCTCCCTGTAGCACAGGGAGCACAGCAGCAGGATCCTGCTCCATAGGAATTCCTGGTTTTGATGAGGACTCCCGACTGTAGGTGGAGAAAGTGCTGGATGCAGTCATCCTGTCTCCATACACTGTCCCTTTGGGTGCAGCTCCATCAGGGGTGTGGTGCCAATTAATTAGTAGGTAAATTCTTGTCCAGGCTAAATGCTAATACTAAATGCTATCCAGATGTGCAACACCCCAAAGTTTGGGAGTGTTTGGATGTGGGGCCTGGGGTTGGAACTGTCCTTTTCCTGTATACACTTGGAATGATAGATAAAAGAGATATTTCTAAAGGAATTAAGAATATATATCACCCTTGAGATACTCTTAATATTTGTAGGCCCCTTTACAACTGAATCCTTGTTGCTATGAAGCAAAAGCTGTTCCAGAGTCAGAACTGAACCTGAGCCCTACATACATTGAATCTTTCCTCCAAGACTCTCTTGAACTTTGGAGAACTTCCAGCTGGGACACAGACCTGCAACAAATCTGACTCCTCCGTTCAGAACTGATTTCCCATCGTGCAGAATAAACCCTGGAAAATCACTGAAGGTCTCCTGCAATCCACCAGCTCGAATTGGGAACGGGGAGAAGCTCAGCAGCACCTTCTGTGGGAAAGGCCCCACTCTCAGTGAAGGAGCTCAGGGAGTTGTACCTACGTGGTACAACCTGCTCAGCTGCCTGATCAGGTTCTCAGGGCTCTTGGAGCTAAAATCAGTGCTTCTGACAGCTCAGTTCCAAACCCAGCCCCACTGTGTCTCTCTGCTGAATGAGGTCACTTCCAGGAGCACACAGGGGGAAACCTCCCAGATGAGCTGGTGTGTTTTACAAATGCACTGATGCAAAAGCACAAAGCAGCGCCCTGAGGAACTAAAGAGCAGCTCTGTGGGACTGTGTGTGCTCCATTCCCCACCCTGGGCTCACAGGATAGACTCCAACCTGTCCCAGTGTGGGATGAACAACCTTCGTGGACACACGGTTGAAGTCATGACAAGACCATTGCAAGGCTCTGCTTTTCAGATGACTGCCCTGTGCATCCTGGCCATTGCCAGCACTGGATCTGAATCAGCTGCAAGATCAATGACTGATGAAAGCCAAAACATGTGACTTGCCCAAATTCCTGTGGGCACCGCCTGGAGCTGAGCAGGGACAGGATCCAAAGGAGGGAACCCCGGGTGTACTGCAGGGCAGGACATCCCACTGCCTTCAGTTTTTTAATCAAGTTTAAGGTGAGCTCTATGCACTGAAAGGTTCCTTCTGTGTGTTACACACCCCCCCCTTGGCAGGCCAATTGCCCATGAAGGGTTTTTAAGACCCTAAACCAGCAGCTCAGCTCTTCAAACCCAAGTGCTTGTGGTGCAAGGTTTGCCTGTGGGTAGGAATTGGGTGTTTTCAGTCTTTTCTGAGCCTGATAACTACAGTGCTGCTCCAAAAACCCCAGACTGAAGAGACGAGAAGGGCATCAACATTTCCTAAGAGAGTATTTTCCCCTTTTCATTAGAGCGGTCGTACAGTTGTTAAGCTGCTCTCCTTTCCTGAGGGCAGCTGAATTAGTCCCGGCAGCAAAAGATCAGCTCTTTGAGGTTGCAGTGCCCTAACAGCGCTCCTGGATGCTGCAGTTTGTACCTGTTTGTGTGGTTTGTTCCCCACAAGCAGCAGGAGAAGAGCTTTGCTCCAGCTCAGCTCTCAGTTGCTGTGATGTGTTCACTGCCAACCGCTTGTGTCAGTGCAGACAAGCTGGGGAACAGCTGCCTGCCCTGGGGACAGATGGCAGGGAAGGAGAGTCCTCCCATTCCTGGGGTCACTGCTGTGCAGTTTTGCACTGATGTGACCTGGCACTGGTGTGAATTTGACCTTCCACACCCCAGGCTCTGGTTCTGCCCAGTCCTTGTCCTGAGCTGAGTGTGCTGCCCTGAGCAAGCCCAGCCCTGTGTGACCCCTTTCTGCTGGCACACATCCCTCTGCTGTGCTGCAGCCCTCGATCTGCCCAGGACAACCCTCCCTGGGGACATTTAGCAGCAATTTGCTTCCTATTTCCCTCCCCTCTTTCGAAGGAAAGCATTACAGAATCATGGAATTGTTGGAGTTGGAGGAGACCTGTGGAGATCATCCAGTCCAACTCCCCTGCCCAGGCAGGGTCACCTGCAGCAGGTGACACAGGAACACATCCAGGCGGGTTTGGGATGTCTCCAGAGAGGAGACTCCATGCCCTCCCTGGGCAGCTGTTCCAGGGCTCTGCCATCTCCATGGAAAGAACTTCTTCCTCGTGTTGGGGTGGAACTTCTTGTTGTTTAGTTCATGGCCATTGCTCCTCGTCCTGCCACTGGGCACCACTGAAAAGCCTGACACCATCCTCTTGACACCCTTTTGAGACATTTCTATGCACTGATGAAATTCCCTCTCAGTCTTCTCTTCTCCAGGCTAACCAGGCCCAGCTCCTGCAGGAGCTGGGCCTGGTTAGCCTGGAGAAGAGAAGACTGAGAGGGAATCTCATCAGAGAGATGCTCCAGCTCCTTAATCACCTGTGAAGAAGATGCTGTTGATTCCCTACCTCTCAGGGAATGTGCAGTGTGGAGCGCAATCAAGCCTGAAAGCGCTTCACAGCAGCTGCTACAGCACCAGAGCAGGATCCTGCTCTGGCCTAAGGAAGCAAAGCACCCCCCAAAACCCGCTCAGCCCGGTGGGAAATCCCCCCCTGCCCCACGCGGCTCCTTCCCTGCTCCTCCAGCAGCACCAGCTTTGTGACCCGAGCCTTGGGTGTGAGCACCCTCAGCTCAGATCTCCTGGAAAAAAAAAAACCCCATCCCCCACCCCTGGGGCAGCCCAGCCCTGGCCCCACGCACCTTGATGGGCGAGTACCACTTGCGGGGCGAGGAGGGTGCGCGCATGCTGCTGGCCAGGCTGCGCGGCTCCGGGAACTCGTACTCCTGCTCCGGCATCTTCACCCGCGCGTTCTTGGCTTTCTCCAGCTTGGCCCCCTCCTCCGTGGAGCCCTTCTCTCCCCAGCGCACCTGGAAGGGAGGGGGGGCCAGGACAGGTTGCAGCGGGAGCTGCTGGACACACTCTCATCCTGCTCCTCCTCTGCGTTTCCCCCCCGGGTGGACGGCAGCGCTCAGGATCTGAAGCTTCTTTCTAGACTATCCCCCCCCAAAACTGTGAACTCCTCCTGCGTTGTGATTTCTCAGAGATGTGAGAGTGGGGAAGATTTCCAGAGAAACCAAACCCCAGCTCCCTGTGCTTTGTATGGCAATGCTGCCCCTGTGTCCCAGCATGGAGCAGGATCTTGCTTTAGTACAGGAAAAGGATGATCCCATACCTCAGATACCCATGTTTGGCTCTCAAACATTCTATATAAAAACCAGCTTGGGCTCAGAGGTACCAAAAAAACTTAAAGGAGTTTGTGCTTATCTCCTGAGTTTCTTCCTGGGTAAACTGCAGGGGGAATCACAGCTCAGCCCTCAAATCAGTTCTGATCCATGCCCTGGCATTTTATTACCTCCATCCGTTTGATGCCTCCAACTCCTCGTCCTCCATAGTAAGAGGCATCTACTGTTGGCCATTTCTTCTTTGGAAGACCATCATCATCTTCTTCCTGCAAAACAGAGGGAAGGGGTGGCGTTGTGAGGAAGGATGACCGTGGATGGAAAGGAATAAACAGTCCCAGGCTGTGCTGAGCCTGCTGGAGCCAGGGCAGGCAAGGTCCTGCTCTGTCCCTCCTAATTTTCCAGAGGATGTACACTCATGAAAAGAAAATGTTTCATGATATAAACACCGCCACCACTTGAAAGGTACAGGCCAGCTCCAGCACGAACAAGATTTTTGTCTTTTTGTGGTGGTTTTCTTTTTTTTTGTTTGTTTCAGGACACTGACTTTCATCATGTTATAATTCACGGAAGTAAATTGTTTCCAAGTTGCAAAATCATTGAAAAAGCCACCGAATTATCAGTCAGTAGAGCTCAGGAGCCGGGGTGTTGTGGCTGCAGGGCTGGGTGATGTGCAGGGACTCATTTCTGCCATCATTTCTACCTGTGAGTGGGGAGGCCCAGCTGCTGCTGCTCGTGTGCTGCAGGAACCCTGCAGATAAACCATCATGTTGGAGTTCAGAGCTGACAGAGAGGGGGGAAAGAGCAAGGCAGCAAGGGCACTGGCTCCTGAGTGATGGCAAACGAGGGGTACCTTTGGGAACAACCCCAGCAGGAATGCCCAGCGTGGAGATGAGGTTTATTGGGATGAGCTGGCCAGGAGTAATGGGATGGAAAAGTCACCAGAACGGAATTAGCGCCTATAATGAACTTGTGCCCCAGCTGGGGAGGCTGCCCATGGCAGCCCATGTGGCCTCAGGGAGTCCTGTGGATTATGCCCAGAGAAAGTCAGGCCCTGTGTGACAAAATGAGGTTGAAATCCTTTGTTCTGCCCTCACACACTGCAGGCACCTCCCAGCCTATGGCTCATCACCTGCTCAGCACCCTGCTCTGCCTGATGACATTCAGGTATGGGCCAATTAACAGCTCCAGAAAACATCCTCAAATGTATTTAAAATGAGTCTGCTGAAGCTTCAGTGAGTGTTCTTCGTGCTCTGTGTTCTCTGCTGCACCATGTGTAGGGCAGGGTGTGTGTGGAGCTCTTAGAGTGCCTTTCCCTTTAATTTCTACAGCTCAGGCTGTGAACTGGCAAAGCAGAAAAGCAGAGTTCATCAAAAACGTGAAGTATTTCCTGTGAAAAATGTGGAGAGAAAAGAAAAATGGTCCCTCTCTCTTTTTTCTTCTTCCTTTTTTTTTTTTTTTTCTTTGATTTTTCACAGGGATTTGGCAAAACTCCAAAACTTCGGAGCTTTCCAAGACGGGCAAAGCCAAAAATACTTTGAAGTTGAAACTCCCCAGTAGGAAACCTGAAAAAGTGTGGAGGGGGGAAAAAATCCAAGACAAGCCACGCTTTTCATGGTAAGCAGAAGCATTTCTGTTTAACAGAGTCCACGTAAATTGGGCTGCAAAATTTGTCGTGATCTAAAGGAAGAGTGAAGCTCTTCGCTCTGTGCAGCTGACCTTCTTCTCTCACTCTGGGCAGAGCTGCTGAGGCTCTTCGCTGCAACCCAAGAACTTAATATCTCTGCATGAAGTTTTCCATGAGGGCTCTTTTTTATTAAAAAAAAAAAAATTTTGGAAGCGAAGCCATCTAAATATTTTCCTTCAGCAATTCTCTTTCTCTCTCTTCAGTTCAGCGCAGACTGGACTTCTCACAACAGGAAATACCAAAGTTTAGGAAATCTTCCCCACAAGCCCTTAAAAGCCCTGCGAGTCCCTTCAGTGCGAGAGGGGAGCCAGAACAACAGAGCAGCGCTCGGAGAGGCATCAGCGGCCACTTGAAAAACAAAGGAGTCACAAGTTTTCTGCAGAATGAGTCTGTTTACATGTTTTCCAGGGCATGGGAGGTTTTGCAATACAAGCAAAAAAAGAAAAAAACCAAACAAAACAAAGCGAGCCAGTGATGTCCTGCGCTCTACAATGTGCTCAACCACACACGTGAGGAGCTGAGGGGAAGCAACTGGAAATTGGGGGTCAGGGGAGGGGGGATGAGCAGAGAAACAGGGAGGGAGAAGGAGATGATCCCCCTGTCCTGCACCCCAGCCCAGTGTTCCCAAGGTGAATTCTCTCAGCCCGGCTCTGTTTCACCTGCATTTTTCTACCTGTGGTTGCACAGGGTTTGCACCTGAGGCACAACTGCACCAGCAGCTCCAGCTCTGACCCAGCTGCAGCCTAAAAAACAGCCCTGGAAAACCCAAGTGCATTTAAGGATGCTGGAAACTTGACTGTGCGGAGCTTGGCAACTTTCCACCCCCAAAATCTGCTTTAGATGGAGCTAGAGTTTCTCTTACAAAATGAGGAGGAACAGGACAGAGCTGCATTTCACAGTCAGAGCTCCAGATTCATCACTGCTGGATTGCAGAAAACAAAGATCTGTGTTTATCTCAGAGGCCAGGCCAGGCTCTGGATACTCTGACCCTGACCTGAGGGAACCTCATCTGTGGGTAACACAAGGATAATTCAGGCTCCACAAGGGACATCTGAACCACTCAGGGTAAGAATTCAAACTAAATTTGGCTAGATATGAAAAAAACCCCGCTTGGACAACTTACCCCTCTCCCCACCCTTATAATTATTTTCCCAGTTGTCTCTGCAGTGCCTGAATTTTGTCAGAATTCAGCATTTAGAGCGAGCTCTGCCTGCACCAAGGGCTGAGGCACGACAGGACAATCATTCCTCTGAATAAGAGATGCTATCATTGAATTTTACAGCTGAGAGAACATGGAGGTGAATCCATTGTCCTCAAGGCTCCTTCTTCTCCCAGTGCTGGACTCATTTCCAAATCCCATGGCCACCTCTCAGCTGCAGAGGCTTTGGGGACACCTTGCTCTGTTCTCAGGGAACCTTTCCTCCTGCTCTGGAAGGTTTTCCTTGGTTCATTATCCCCTGCCAGGCACCTGAACTGCAGCTGCATAAACTCATCCCTTTGGGTTTTCTTGTGTCTTTGCCTGTCACTGGCCCAAACCTGCAAACCACCGGCAGAAAGTGCTCTCAGGTCACTGATCATCTCGTTCTCCTGGTGCTCTGCTAAGGAGCAGCTGAAGGAAGACCAAAACACTCACCCACAGGATCCCAGAATGGTTTGGGTTGGGTCAGGTGAAGGGAATGACCACCAGTGGCTCCCACCGCACTCTGATGAGATTCATCCCAACTTCCACAGCCTCTGTGCTGTGCTGGGCCTGCCTGGATATTCCACATGGAATTTGGCCATAAAACTCCACACCTTCCTGGTGCAATACCTGCACCTCATCTGTTGCCAAGAGCACCCCCATTTTTTTTCTTTTCAATGCCTGTCTCTTGAAAGGTTCTTTTTCTCCTCCTCCCATATTTCCACAACTCACTGTAAAAGGGGAGTAGAGGGAAGGAAAAGCACTGGCACACCACTGGGGCCTGGCTTTATTTCAGGAACAGCAGAATAAATTTCCTGCCTTGGTGTCTACAAAAAATTCCTAGCAGATCCTTCCTCAGGAGCTCACTCTGCTACCCCCCCAGCAAGGCTTTCCAGGAAAAGAGAGGAAAACAGTTTAGAAAGGAATAATGAACAGCAATAATGGAGCAGTCTGGTCTAGTGGAAGGTGCTCCTGCCCATGGGCAGAGGGGTGGAGTGAGATGGTCTTTAAAAAGGTCCCTTCCAGCCCAACCATTCCATGAATCCATGATAATAAGTGAGGGTTCAAGCAGCTCCCCAGGCAGATGAATCTCTCTGAGTCATTCTCTGGCCTCATGAATGTTGTGGGAGAAATTAGTTCACAGCAATCAAAGGGGATTGAGCTGAACAGAGGGTTTCATCCCTTGGCTGAGTCAAATCCCTCCTTCCCCAGCTGCCCCCCAGCACAGTGACAGCTGAGCAGCCCCCTCTCTCCAGGACTTTCTGGCGTGTGTTTGCCTTGCTGTGTGTGGGTAAGAGGACAGCAGACATAAGAATTATCCAATTACAGGCTGGTTGGTGGCTTGGCTCTGGTGCCACGCTCCGGGGCACAGAAAAAAGGGGGCTGAGAGGTGAGGAAAGGGAAGTTCTGCTCGCCCTGCCTGGCTCTACCAGGGAGCTCTGTGTCCCTGCTCCCTGCTGGGGGGACAAGTGCTGCCAGGACAGGCCCAGCAGGGTGGTTGAGCCTCTGTTTGCAGGGCAGGGCAGCAGGGAGGACAGCGTGTGGCTCTTGGGGATGCTTGGCAGAGCTGCAGTGGATGCACCCTCTGACCGCAGTCAGTCTGTCCTTCTGTGGGCCAGGTAGTGAACAGGGAATCGCTGGAAGCTGCAGAGCTCTGCAGGTTGGGATTTTTTGATGCAGAGGATGGGTTGCTGTGGTAGGAACAGCTTCAGCCTTGGGGTAAACTGGGCTGAGCTGGGTAAGAGTTGTTCTGACAAGCTCAGCCTAAAGGTGATGGGACACATGAATAAAAGTGGCTGTGTCTTCCTCCAGCAGGGCCAGAAAAAGCCTTCCTATTCTCTGGAAGTAGAAGAATGTGGTTTTGATTCACCTTCAGCGACTAATCCCAGGCCAGAAAGGTGCTCTCTGGCCCCTCTTCCGCTTGGCATTAACTCAATCCTTCCTGGCTGTGAGTGAAACCATCTGTCCTGCTCTGGGCCCACCTCCCCAGCACCCTGTGCTGCCTGAGCAGCTCAGAGGGGAGCTGATGCCATTTGCCATTTTTGAATGAATTCATTGGGAGTTTGTAGCCAGTAATGATTTCCTTCACCAACAGTGACCGTGTCTCCAACGGGTCTCAAAAGGCCTTTAAAGGGGAGCTCAATAAAACCTTGGCTGGTCTGACAGCAGCACTGCTTTCCCCTCACTGTCACAGTATAATGCATTCTCCTTGCCTCCTGTGGGCCTCAGCTAACAAATCTGCTGATGCAAGAATTCCTCTTGTCTTTTTTTTTTTTTTTTTTTTTTGGTCAAGGCTTTTGGGAAAAGAAAAGAAGTGGAGCTGTAACCCTGCTGCTGAAGGGATGAGCCCTCTGTCATGCTGGAGATGAGCAGTTGCTGGTTCTCTGCAAGGGGGAAGGACATCTGCATCACCTGAGGAAAACTGGACTGTAGAAAATCAGCTCCATCTTCCATTTGTTTCAAGCAAAGTAGAAAATCTGGAGTCTCCAACCTTCTGTGAAAGCATCACTGGACTGCCAGTCCCATTCTGTGGACCAGCACCTCTAAGAGGACCAACAAAATGCATCTTTTCAGAGCTTCTGCTCTTTTTCCACTCCTGGGAAGCTCTTCTGCCTGGCAAGAACACCCAGTACAAGTCCCAGCTTCAGGCCTTACTGATTTCTGAGCACTGCCCTGGTGCTAAACAGTTTCTAAAATGGGAGGAACTCCATTTTCCTTTTGAAGAATCCTTTGGCTGCTAAATGTGTGAGATGGGCTTGGGGATAACTGAGCACTGAGCTCAGGGGATGTGCTCTGGTGGGAAGTACAGGTGAAATTCCACCCTCAGAGCAGCCCCTGCAATGCAGGCACATTGGATGGATGGATGGCCCATCCCTGCAAGTGTCCCAGGCCAGGTTGGACAGGGCTTGGAGCAATCTGGGCTAGTGGAAGGTGTCCCTGCCCATGGCAGGTTGGAATGAGATGATCTTTAGGGTCCCTTGCAACCCAAATATTCCAGGACTGTTGCAACCAAAACCTGCCATCCCAAGGAGCCCAAACAGGGAGAAGAAAAGCCAAAAGAATGTACAGATCCCCTCTTGGATTAAAGAGGCAGCAGGCAAAGTACAGGGAGTAGTTAATGCCATTTTTCAGGTACTGGGCACTGCTCTGTCTGGGCACAACCAAAGCCTGGACAAGCTGAATTTAAAGCTCTCTGCTGCAACGAGTTTATTTTGCAGCCACTGCTCTGCACTTGCAGCACTCACTGCTTGGACAAAAGGTGACACACGACTTCCCTCTGAGCACGGGGATGCAATTTCCCCTTCCACTCCTTGGCCAGGGAGCCAGCATTCCTGAATGATGTATTTTAATTAAATTCAGCAACTGAATCCCTTGGCTTGGAGGCATGTGTGATGCAGGACAAAGCCATGTGCAGCTTTGGGTTAATGTTTCCCTGTTCATTCAGAGGACAGAAGTTTGACAAAGCTGGTGGATTTTCAGGCAGCCCAAACAAATGTCTGCTCAGGAGAACAGGACAGATGCCTGCAGAGGGAGGCATGGGGAGCACTGGGGCCCAGTGCAAATCCCCCTTGGCTTCACAAATGGTCTGATTTAAAATTTGACTTCAGGCCTGTTTTGAAGGGGACCAGTGCCACCAAGGTGGAGGTTCCAGTGCTGCCCTGAAGGATTCCCCTGTGCCCAGTGCAGGGGGAAGGATTCCAGCTCCACAGGCTTGCAGAGGACTGAGCTCTCAGGGTGTCTGTGTGCCTTGGCTCAGACCACACTCCCTGGGCCAGACTTCACGGAGAGCAGAGAGCACCATTTCAGAAGCTTTTCCACTCACAAGCTGAAGCAGGCAATGGATTTGCCTCCAGATGCAGAGAGCAAGGCAAACCAACCAACCAAATCACTCTGAGAACAGATCTAAGTCCAGCTTTACTTGCATAAGTGAGAGGAACTGATCCAAACCCCAGTGGAGTCAATGAAAAAACTCCCATGGCCACCAGTGCTCTCTGCACAGAGCCCAGGGACTGCAGGGAAATCCCACGTGGAGAACAGCAGGAGCAGAGCAGGGACTCACTGCCTGCTGGAAGCAGGAGCACAGAGAAAGAGCAGATGGAAAACTGGGCATGTTTCTGGGAGCAGTCTGCTGATTAAATAATGGTGACACAGCTTTAAGCATTTGTGCCTGGATTCATCTAGAAAGTGTAGGCAGAATGAAGATGGATTTTTTGATGTTGATTTACCATTTGTTGATTATTCTCCATTAAAACTTGCCTGGCTGGTGCAGCTCTCCTGGGTTTTGCACCAGCTCAGAATCTGCTCCACTGTCTCCAGACACATTGCAAGGACCACATTGCTGCAGCAACTGTGGCCCAAGGGATCAGCTGCCAGCAGGGGTTATATATCCTAAACCACCAAAATCATTACTGTGCCATTCCAGGAAGGCACTTAAGCACATGTTTAGGTTCCATTAACTTCAAAGTTAAACACAGGCTTAAGGGTTGTCCCTTTTGTGAGTCACAGCCTGACTTCAGTGCTGTTCCAGTGAGGTATTGTCTGGCCCTGCCCTCCTCCACTGCAGGTCCTGCACACACAGATCTACCTTTTGGGGGGGACACCGAACAAACCCTTGTCCCAAACACTGAGCAGATCAGGTGGCACAGTTACTCACCTCACTGTCTTCTGCCGGGGGTGGGGGAGGCTCTTTGATGATCTGCAAAGATCAAAGAGAAACAGAACAGTGAATTTATGTTTTGTTCCTTAGCACAGTCCAAATGCCCCCCCTCCCCCCAAGAAATGCAAAGGAGAAAACCACAGGATATGCTGCTGGGAACGTCTGTGATCACAGGGTGGCTGGGGATGCTCCTGGAGTCCCTGCCCCTGAGAGCAGGAGGGGAGGCAGGAGGTGTCCCAAAGCCCTGCCATGGAGACATTCCTGATGACAGCTCCAGCTCACACTGCTCATTCGGTGACCCCCGTGAGGGAACAGCAAATTCAAAGCCTCACAGCCTCGATTCTCCAGCCTCCTCATCCCAGCAGCTGCCACAGTCAGTGGTGGCTCTAAGCAACACACAACAATTGATGTTTTCACCCCAACAACGACACTAAAATCAGCATCTCCTTCCACTGGACGCTGCACGTGTGCACAAACCCTGCCTCAAATAACTCACAGTCTGAACAAAGGCTGGAAAGCGACACCAGGATGAAGCAAAACGCCCTGGAGACACTGCAAAGCAGTGAAAACCCCCAGCCTGTCTCCCAGGCCATTCTTTCTTCTTCATTCCAGAAGGCTGTGCCACCTCATGCTCTTCCCATTCATGCTTTTCCCATTATCAGGTTAATATAGTTGGCTGTCGTGAGCTTTATAAAATATAAATATATATATTTTTGAGGCTCTCCAAGGGTTTCTATTAGAGAAGCAGGGTGAGGCTGTGGACTGGTCCAGGATATTCTCCATAGAAACCATTTCAGTTGATGTGGGCGTGAGGTTATTATTTCATGCAGAAGGTTTGCATCCAGGGCTCTGCAGGCAGTTGGCTGTTCCCAGAGCCCTCCATCCAAGAGCAACAGAGGCCCTTCCAGCGGGAACAGTCGCACACAGGCACGTCAGGCCCCTCTCCCTCACAGGACACCCCGAGGCACAGCCCCTGCCCAGCCCCAGCCCAGCCAGGCACGTCAGTGCCCCAGGGCTGCATCTCCTCCAGCAGTTTTAGGCCCATCTGGATGAGGCAGCTCCTCCTTCGCACACCAGCCCATGAGCCAGATGCTGCCAGGGTGCTCTGGGGGTGCCAGAGTGTCCTCAGCTCCAGGATGGGGTGTTGGGGGCAGAGGCTGCCCAGGCATGGGGGGAACAGGCTTCGAAATCCCCTCTCAGACAAAAGATATAGCCCCAAACAACAGCAGCAGCAGCAGCAGCAGCTTGGCTGTTTAAATGCAGAAAGGGAAAATGACAATCACATTAAAGGTCCTGAAGATATAAATATTTACAGCAATTCCTCTCACTCGTGTTTTTCCTGCTCTGATGAGCTCACTGGTTTTATTTTCCTCTGCAAAGCCCGAGTCATGCAATGTGGCCGTTAATGAGGAGCATGTGCCTCTGGCAGGGGAGGAGATGGGGCTGGAGCAGTTTGTGTCCCGGCCCAGAGCAGTGGTGGGTGTAGAGCTCAGCCTCTGCCTCCTCCTGGGCCGCAGAGCTTTTCTTTTTGGTGGCCTACAACACCCTGGGGAGACTCTTGCTGAAGAGTCTTGGTGCTTTAGGAATCAGCTTTGTGTGCGCAGAGGCACCAAGCACATGAAACGGCACGTGAGGAGTCAGGACAGCAGGACTGGGGGCAGATGTGGCTGAGCCCCCAAGGCCTCCTTAGGGAGGTGGAGGGGGGATGGCTCCGAGCAGCAGAGCTGAGGAGTGTCTGTACAGCACCCACCTCTCTGCCCATCCTGAAATCCCTGTTCTTGGGCAGGATAGAAATGACGGAAGCGACGAAAATGATGGAAAATGATGAAAAGTGGATGGAAAGTGGATGCCCCTCGGTGTGCCCCACAACTCAGGAGGGACATGGAGGGGCTGGAGGTGTTCAGGGAAGGAAGAGAAGGGAGCTGGGGAAGGGGCTGGAGCACCAGGAACAGCTGAGGGAGCTGGGGGGGCTCATCCTGGAGAAAAGGAGGCTCAGGGAGGACCTTCTTACGCTCTACAGCTACCCTGAAGGAGGTTATAGCCTGGTGGGGGTTGACCTCTTCTCCCAGCCAACCAACGACAGGATGAGAGGACATGGTCTGGAGATGCACCAGAGGAGGTTTAGGTTGGACATCAGGAAGAATTTCTTCACAAAAGTGTGTTCAGGCATTGGAAGAGGCTGCCCAGGGAGGTGGTGGAGTTCCCATCCCTGGAGATGTTCAGAGACAGACTGGATGTGGCACTCAGTGCTCTGGTCTGGTTGACAAGGCAGTGTTTGGCCAAAGGTTGGACTGGATCTCAAGAAGTCTCTTCCAACCTAATTGATCCCGTGATTCTGTGAAAACTGGATGAAAACTTGTCAGCATCACAGTACTACTCTGTGGAAAGGAGATCTTGGGTACCAGCATGGTTTTTCTCAGAGTGCTGCTCCTTGGAGGAAGATGGAGACAACATAATTTCTTACACATCTCTTGATACACCAAACACTGACCCAGAGTGTGCAGTGCACCAAAACACACAGGGCACTCAGTGTGAGGGGTGGCACTTGTCAAGAGACCTCCTTTTGAACCAACCCCCTGAATCCAAACCCGCTGGATGCTGAGAAACTTCAGATATCCCATCCAAAATGTACCTGCTGGAAGTGGCCTCATTCCCTCCTGGAGCATTCCCTGCTCTGGTGGAACATCGTGGGTTCCAGGGGAGTTTCTCTCATTTGCATTGGCACGAAACGTCAGGATAATCCATCCAACACATTTGGTCCAGCTGAGCATCCAAACACCACTTCCCAGCCAGTATCCCTGGAAACTCTGGAGATTATGGGCTTGGAAACGAGGGGCTGGCTGTTTTCCATCCCTTTGCATTCCTTCTCACAACGTATGCGAACACGTACACACAAACTGACTGCTGTAAACACATCAAGTGTTCTCTGCCACAGGTCAGGAGGGGAAAAAACATTTCTCTTCAATTTTTCAGTGCTTTGAACCTCTAGGAGTATCTGAACACCCCGTAAGTTGGCAGAGTGGATTGGTTGGTTTGGACACGTCTGGACACGGGGAGAGTTCAGTCCTGTGTGCCTTTGAGCCTGCACAGCCTCTCAAAGTTCAAGCCTCCCAAAAAAACATAATTTCTGTCTCCTTGCCCGGGTCAGGAGAGGGTTTTGTTCTCTGAACAGCACAAACCTTCTCCTTCTCCCTTGTGGATTCTTACAGTTACAGCTGAATGTGCACGAGACCCTCATCCTGGGATACTGAGACAGTTATCCTGGGATACTGAGACCCTCATCCTGGGATACTGAGACCCTCATCCTGGGATACTGAGACAGTTATCCTGGGATACTGAGACCCTTATCCTGGGATACTGAGACCCTTATCCTGGGATACTGAGACCCTCATCCTGGGATACTGAGACAGTTATCCTGGGATACTGAGACCCTTATCCTGGGATACTGAGACCCTTATCCTGGGATACTGAGACAGTTATCCTGGGATACTGAGACCCTCATCCTGGGGCACTGAAGACAGTGAAGCAAATGGGATGTTGGTGCCATCCCACACAAGTGGGCAAAGCAAGAGCCAGGGGGGAATAACGAGGTCCCAGAGCTGAAAGGTAGAACCAAACTCCTGCTCCTTTGGCACAACCAGAGCCAACAGCTCAAGGACAAGAGAGGGAAGGCCACGGCAGGGCCCCTGTGAGGACACAGCCTGCACAGCCACCACGCTCTGCTCTGGCCTCCCAGCTGACACCCAGGGCCCTGCTGAGGGCAATTCAGCTGGGACAGGGCCTGGCCAAGCACAGCTCTGGTGAGTTTGGCTTGGCAGGGCTGGGGTGTTTGTTCATGTGTTCCTCAGTTGTTTGGATGACCCCAAGCCATCTCTGTGATTGCTGTGCAACTGCACCTCCTGTCCCTGGGTTTGGAAGAAGGGAAACGTGACTGCCCAGCCCCAGGTCAGGAACACCTGAGGGGGGTTCCCCCCCATCCCCAGGCTGGGAAAAACCTTGCAGTGGGGTCTTTCCTTTCCAGGTGGAAAAGGCCCGTGGGATGGGGAGGTGGCCTTTGGCTTTCTGGGCAGAGGAAGGAACTTCAAGAGCAGTTGCAGCACTTCTACACACCAAGCTGGGAGAGCTCAGGACAGGGAAGGAATTCTTTGCTTTTCCTCACAGATCCCAACACTCACGTGACTGACACAGGTCTCTGTTAGCTGAGCCACCCCACGTCTCAGATCCATGGAGAAGCAGCTGTTTCTGATGGATAACCCAGTGTCCAAGCAGAGGAATGCTATCAGCCACCTCCTGGAAGGTTAAAAGCATTGGAGAGGACGAATTTTCTGTTGCCCTGAAATATCTGTAGCCATTCAGGCACAAGGAATCACATGCTGAATCCAAAGTTTGCATATTCCAGGAATGTGTCTAGGATGTTTTCCATCTTGGGAGCCCAGAAATCTCCACCAGCTCACACTGTCCAGCAATCACACAGGCAGTTACTGTCCCTGGAGTTTCAGATGATAAATAGGGGCAATATGTTTCTTGTCAGTGAAGCTTTAGGATGGAACAGATCATCATTCAAAATGAAGCAAACAGTACAAAATAAGAAATAAAGGACTTTCCCTCTAATTAGGACTAAAATTTGGGAAGGGAGTATACAGTATAACTGAGCAGATCCTTTTGTCCTTATTTACCTTCACTCTTCTGCAAACCACAGAATGTGTATTTTTGCTGTCCTAATAAACAGGGATTTTTAATAGCATTAACTCTGAGCCATCTGACTCATCTTTATTTTTTCTCCTTTCATATTTATAGTTTTGACCTCTCAGTCCTGTGACAGTTTCATAGTTGAGGTATGAGTTGGGTAAAGGAACATTTCCTTTTTCTTTCTGCCATATCTGCTGTGTCTTCTGAGTATCCATTAAATCCTTGGAGATTTGGTCCTCACTTCCAAGCTCATGCAAGCAGGAGCCTGTCCTAGTTTCTTCATCTGCAATATAATGCAATCCTCTTTCTAGACATACAAGAGATAAAAGAAGTCCAATGGAAAGCCAACTCATCCTTTTAAGATCACCTCTCTTGTCAGTCTGGGAGCAGAGCCAGAAATTCCAATTTTAACTCATTAAATCTGGAAGAAGAGGCTGTTTCACCCTGAAGATTTGGAGGTGACGTGCACAAACCAAGCTCAGTACAGGACATGAAACACGTCACAATCATCCACTGATGAAAGACATGACACCATGGAGGGGAAAAAGCCTCCATTTAATTAACCCTGGTACAGTTTGAAGCTTCCTGGGGCTGACTTGGAGGCGTCCAGGGAATGCACGTTAAAAAACGCAGTGCCTGCAAAGGTTGTTCCTTTTCCTGGGCTATTCCACTCCCAGATAAACCAGGTCAGAATCACTGGGGTGCGCTCCGAGTGTCTGACCCACTTCCTTGGGAAGACCACATGAATGAAATTCATTTTCTGGGCTAGGGAAACCCCCCATGGCCTCTTCCAGCCCTGCCCAGGAGCCCTCGCTCTCCCTCACTGATTCCCAGGGAATATCCTGGTTTAGTAAGACTGTGTCCTATTTCTCCCCAGCTGGGCTGAGCCAGCTTTCTTTGGAAGGGGTGAGAGGCACTCAGGGAAAGAAAACAAAGGGAGAAGTGGCTTTGACTGAGTGAATTACTTGCTGTGCAGGCCAGGGCAGAGCTCAGCAGGGCCTGTCCTGCTGCAGGACCCGCTGTGCTCTGCAACAGGGAGTGCTGGACCCAGGCAGGATTAACACCCTTTGGATCCAGCCTCCAGGAGACACATCAGCAGGTGAATTGCTGTGGGAGTCTGGAGTCCAGGCTCAGCATCTGATGGCCTTCCTAACCCCAGAGGGTGCTTTCCCAAAACGGCAGCTCTGTGAACATCCTTCAGCTAGGACGCTCCACACCTTGGAGAACGTGGGTTGAACTTGTTGGTAATGACACACCAAGGCACCCCAGTTCAGTGCCTGGCTCCCACACTGTTCCACCAGCCCACATCTCCACCTGGGCTGCTGCAGAGCTGGTGGCATCAGCCCGGGCACTGGGCTGTTTTGGGGATCAGTGCCAGCCTGCTCAAACACAGCCACTTATTGAGTGTTATATCCATATGCCAACCACTCTGATCTGACTGACGGGAGCCTGAGAACAGCACTGAACTGCCCTGGGTACTCTGTGTGGTCAATAAGAACCATCCTCATCCTCCTGCTGCCCTTTGTGCCCAGGATGTTTTTTACACTGCCTTCAACCTGCAGCAGCAGCGCTGCCTCCAAGGGCTTGGGGTTGACTGGGCAGTAAGTGCAGACACTCATTCCTGGCAAGGTGTGTGGATCCAGAGCTTGAATGTTCCCCACCACAGTTATCTCCAGTAAACTCAGTAAATCCAGTGATTCCACTCCCTGTTCAGGTGGGTGCTCCCCTGGACAGCCCAGAGCCAACCCTGCAGGGCCTGCAGGGCTCACAGACAGTCTATGCCTTCACTCTTCTGCTCTCTCTTCTGCTTGGTTTGCCTCAACAACGCTCCAGATGATTCATGATCCTGTGCTCTCTCCTCCCCAGCTCATCCCAACTGCAGCAGAGCCGTGCCCTGCGTGCACGTGGGAGCGGGTGGGACCGGAGCACGAGGACCCTCGCAGGGAATCTCCAGCCAGCCAGCAAGGACCATGTCATTTTGTGGCTCCTCAGGGTTGCTCTAGAGCCTATGCATTTCCTCCCCTTCCTCTTCCTCCAGTTTAGCCACGGTTTTCATGTGGTTTCAATCTATATTTTCTGTATTTTCTCCATCCAGCTCTTTGCTTCCAAAACTTCTGGTCAGCTGCAGCGCAGACTGAGAGCCAAACAGATTGCTGGGTTCTTCCATGCTTCCTTCCAGAAAACAGCTTTAAAGTTAAAACTGGTGTTAGATGCTTAAATACCAACACCTCATTTATCTGCCAGCCACACCCCTGAGTTTAAAATGGCTGCAGTGGGAAAGGGAGGGACATGGGGCAGATTTTCTGCAGGGGCAACTAACCCAGCCCAGCCTCGTGTCCTCCCACTCAGGCCACCCTGGATGGCTGCAGAAGGGAGGCAAAGACTCGTGTTTACTCCATCAACCTGTGAGGAGATGTGATGTCCAACCACGTGGGAAGATGCAAAATCCTCCCTAAGATAGTTCAGGAGGCTTATTATCCCTTTGGCTTACATCTACATTAAAATCTAACTTGGTTTAGAACAGCAACGTTAAACCTGAGGCTTGTGTTGGCCTCCTACCCAGAACAATTTCCCCCTCGGGCACCTGAACAGCCTCTTGCACACACAGTGACTGCTGGGGGTGCTTGGGCTCCTCCAGGTCGAGCTGTGCTCAGGAAAAAGGAGGAATGGGAGGACAACCCCTAACTCAGGGAGGCCAGGATCTGGCATCTGCTGTTCCCCACAACTGCTCAGCTCAGGAAGAGTGGGGTCACCCCATAGCTGTCTGTGTACTTGCCACCATTCCTGTACTGGGTGCACTGGTGGGGATGTCAGCAAAGCAGAATCATTTCTTTGTTTTCTGTTGTTGAATAAACCTCCTACAACCTCTGGAAAGGTTAGTGCCTGCCTCCCATGCTTTTGTAATGACCCCCACAGGTATCCAGGGTAATTTTGCCTGTGCTGGTATCAGGCACAGCAAAGAGTTATTGTTGTTCTGAGCCACTAAGCAACAATTGCCTCTACTGTAAACCGAGTGGTAAATTCCAGACTTCATCCCAGAATCCTTCTGAGACCAATAAACTTGGATACATTTGGAAACAGCATTCCTTTGTGGGCGAGTGCCAAGGAGATACTGGGTTCCAGATAAACCTCCAGAGTGAGTCTCTTGACTTCAGTCCATTTACTCCAGGGATGAAGCTGGCTCGGTGTCTTTCCTGAAGAACTGCCGGATAATAATGACTCCTATTTAATTAAAAAGCACGCCAAGAGGAATTTCAGGGTTTAGAAATGTGCTTGTCACTCAGAAACAAATTTATACTTGGTAAGAGAAGCGTTTTGTTGTGTTTTTTTTCCCCTCTTCCCCTGGCCACATCCACAGTTATCTCCGACACGTCCCCGGGCTGGAATCCACGGCGATGGCTCCGGCTCTGCGGTTTGGTGCTTCGAGGTTAGTGCTGATGCCTCTGGTCTCTTGTGCAAGCCAGTTCCTCTGCCCTTAATTCACTCCTGACAACTGCATTCCTTCCTGTGCCACTTCCAAACCAGGCAAGAGCTCTGCTGGGCTCCCTCTCTCCAGGCCCCAGGCAGGCTGGGCTCTCCTCCCTGGGCTTATCTTTAACTTCACGGAGTTTTTGGGTGAGCAACACACACACTGAGGTATCTCAGCTGCTGATCTGCTGCCAAACACACCGGGCTACCCCCCTGGAGAGGTGGAAGAGATTTCCTCTTGGAGGAGAACCTTTCCAATAACTACAGGGATGTGTTTGACTTACACTTGGAAACCATCAGTGAGACAGTCCCCACTTGCAGACCTTGCTGAGAGGGAATGTGGGAGGTAAAGGAGGAGAGTGAGGAAAAGCTTTTATCTACAACAAATTTTCTAAGTACAGGATTTAAATCTGGAAAACATTAAGTTTGTAAAGCTTCATGTGGACGGAGACTGCCTCTCCCTGCTGGCCCACCTGGCTTATCTGGACTGTACCTTTCACACTTCACAACCACTGTCCTCACACCATTCCACCCAGCAGACCCACAGTGCCCCCCCAGTGCACAGCTCCACGTCCCCTGCACTGCTGCTTTTAGTGATGCCTTCTTCTCATCAGCTTCACCTTTCTCCTGCCACAGAACCTCAGCCCAGCAGCATCACCGAGAGCCTTTCCTCTCTATCCCCTCAGCTCTGCTCCAGTGCAATCATCTGCACAGGGCACATCTCCACTGACTTCCACGCAGATGTGCCAACAAAGGAATTGGCCCAGTTCCTCTGGGAATGTGCCATCTAGTTTAGACAAATAACTCTGAGCAACCTACCACGCTGTTAATGCTTTGGCCAATTTTAGAACTGATTTTTTTCTTTTTTTTTTTATTGTCCTGAAAGTCCAAATAAATATTTTTTTCCATTCTGGTTTTCTTCTCAGGACAGAGGTGCCAAACTACTGTGAAAAGAAGCATTTAATCCCCAGCATTTCCAGCCAGGAACAGAAATAGACAACTTTTCCCTGCGAGATTTCCATCCTTGCTCTGGGTAAATTCATCTCAACTCAGAGACTGGTCCTTCACTTTGCCTGCTCCTGCAGTGTGAGGCTCCAAAGCTCTCAGGACTGGAGGGCAGGTTTGGTACAACGTGGTACAAACTTACAGCTCTGGGTGTGTCATTTGAAATCAGGAATAATGACGGGGACCCAGCAACTTGAGCCAGTTTGGGCAGCCTTAAAGGCAGCATCTGAATTGTTCCACGCAGCCACTCACCAAAACAGGACTCCAATCCTGCTGACACCTGTACATCCCTAATTCTTCTTCTATGTTTGCAGCACAGACAAGACCCAGAGCAGCAGCAGAGCTTCCCTGTACTGTGTGTTCCCCAAAAACCAGCCCTTGTGCTGATCCTCAGAGGAAAAGGCAGTGCCAGGGGATGATCAGCAGGGATGGACAGGGCTGAGACCCCCTCATTTCTTACTTTCAGGCAACACCGAATTGCTGTTTTCTGCTACTGATTTCTGTCACTTACCACAGTGCAGCAGAGAGGCCAGAACCACCAGAGCAGAGCCAAGGCCAGCAGGAGGAAGAGGATCAACAAGGCGATGGCCAGGATGGTCCCATCTGACTGGAAGAGAAACACCAGAGTGGTGTGAGCAGCACTAACACAGAACTGCCTCTCCAAGGTGCATCCTGATTCCAGGCACATCCCAGAGGCCACTCTCCATTTATTGCCACTTTAATGACAACAATTATCAATGCCACACTCCATTTGTTTTTCAGATAAAATGCAGTTTTCCCCCCTCCTCACACGTCAAATGTGGCACCTGTCCCTGCCCCCACCTCCCTGCAACGAGGCTGAGAGTTCTCCTTCACTTCATAGATTTTGCCTTGATTTTCTGAACCCCCCAGCTACATAAAACACTTATTTCAGTTCAGAATAAAACTAATGTAACGTTCATCAGACTATTGGGAAGACTGAAAAAAGATCTAAAAAGGAGTTCACAACACAATCATGGAATCATGGAATGCTTTGGGTTGGGAGGGACCTTAAAGCCCATCTCATTCCACCTCCTGCCAGGGGCAGGGACACCTTCCAAAAGCCCAGGTTTCTCCAAGCCCTGTCCAACCTGGCCTTGGACACTTGCAGGGATGGGACATCCACCCATCCAACCCCTCTGGGCAACGTTTCACTGCAGTTTAAACATTCTCCTTCTTTGCAACTCTTGCAGTCCAAACCCTAAAGTGATGTTGGCACTCCAACTGACTCCAAACAGAAAACTTGCAGTGAGGTCTCCCCGGGCCCCTGACTCGGGTCACGCTGCTCCTCTCAGCAGGGCTGAGTCACAGAAGTTCTGCCACGAACTTTCCAGGGAGACCTGAACACACCCCCCCTCCCAACAACACACGGGGAGTTTCCTCATCAGAAGCCATAAACTCCAGAGGATCCTCTCCTCTCCAGCTGGGATGCTCCCCCAGTCAACATACATTTACAACTCCCTGATATCCATCAGCACTGCAAACTGCTGCACAGGCCAGCCCACCTCAGCAGCCAAAACCCAACCTGCTTCGTTTCTTGCTGCTTAGACTGACCCCCCAGCAGATGCTCCTGTCCCCCTGAGGAGTGCCAGCCTCCCCACACCCTCCCTCCCCAGGGCCATCCTCCTGCCCCCAGCCCAGCAGGCAGGCCTGACTTCAGCCTCCCTGAGATGCTCCTGGTGGAAGAGCCAGGCATTCCAACCCCCACCCTGGTGTCAGGATCCCAGTGCCAGACTGAGGACACATCCAGGAGCAGATTGACCTGGTGGGGAGAAATCTGGGTGCCTGCTTAGCTCACTGTAGCTCAGGGGCCAGATGACCTCCCAGCATTCCAGAGTGGGAGAGTAATGGAAAAGCAACCAGGTTGAGAGCGCTTTCCAAGCTCTCTGCTGGTGCAGAAAGAATTTCTGGAGAGCTTGGATCAAGACAACCTGATCTTTGACACTTGGAAGCTAAAGAGAGGTAGTCCACACAGGAGAAGAATTCACCCAAGGCCTGTCTGGAAATGGAACTTGGACCCCACCACAAAATAAAAGCTCATTTGAGAAGACAGAGCTGTACATTTGGGGCTGTTCCTCCAGACAAGGAGCATAAAGGCACATCCATCATCTGCAAAATGAAACCTGCTGGTGTTCAACGCTTTAGAAAATGTGATCTCGGCTCTTTGCTGCCGTGAAATTGTAGGAGAAATAAAGCTTTTAATGTCCAATCATTATCTGCCCCTTTAGACCCATCTTGAAACGAACATTTTGCCATTAAGATATTCTAAAATCAGTTTGAAAATATACAAAATAACGTGGCCTTGTAACTGTTTTCTGGGGATTCTTTTTGTTTGTTTGGTTGGTTTTAAAAATAGAATTTATTTTTACTTTTCTTCCCCCACCCCAGACAATCTGTAAAGACCAGCTTAAAGATATGCCAACACTTGTGTTTCTCTGCACTGCAGCTGGTGTGGCCAGCTGGTGATCTTTCTGTGCACCACAGCAGCAAACCAGTGCAGAGGAAGGGTTGGTTTATCTTCATTTTGCTAGTTTCTGCCAGAATTTAGCTATCCCTCTGTGCAGTACCTATGGGTTAATAACTTAACTGTGCCTAGCTAGAAACTGCCGCTTAGCCAGGCTGAGTGATGAACAAGAAGGAAACTCTGCCTGCTAAAAGAGCCTGCAAGAGTTCCTCTGACATTTTGAAATCTCTCTCCCAATCTTATATGGCTGGTGAAAGGGCTGAAGCATTTCAAATGTCTGCTTTCATTCCTTTTTTTTAATGAATATTTGGAAGAACAATGCAAAGGCTCATGGAAACACTGACCCGTGGAATAATGCAGTGAGCTGTGTGTAACACTCAGTGAATACAGGCAATTCAGACCAAGAAAACAACTTTCATTTTAAAAAGGGAATTTTTACAGTAGACTAGAGAATTTTCCATTAAAAAAAAAATCTGTGGAGACAAAGCCTGGATAGTCCCTAAATACACAGTTATCTGTGATCGGTGCTACTGTCCCATAGGGATTCATCTTGACATGTTGGACAGAGATAAAACTGGTGCTGGCACCCCCAGTGAGATGAAGAGGCCAAAACTCCAGTGCCCCTGATGACTGACAAAAGCCAGACAGCAAAGGGACCCTCAGAGCTCGTTCCAAATTAAGTGCCAGGTGCCTTTTTTAAAGCTGCTTGATGAGAGTGAGTCGTGGTGGGTTCTCCTGTTTGAGACATCTTGGCCAGGGTTTCACTGGATCATGGAATGGTTTGGGCTGGAAGGGACCTTAAAGACCATCCAACCCCACCCCCTGCCATGGGCTGGGATATCTTCCACCAGCCCAGGTTGCTCCAAGGCCCCTCCAGCCTGGTCCTTCCCTGGGCAGTTCCTGTGGAACTTTGGGGACTGGGAGAAGCCCTGGGGGATGGGGGAAACCCCCTGGCCCCGAGACAGAACCCTGGCCCAGCTCTTGACCTGCAGGTTCTCTAGAGACAGAGGAGGGGAGGGCTGGCAAAACCCGACCCAGCAGCTGCCCTGGGCTGTTTCCTGAGCTCTCCCCACGAACACTGGGATGTGTTCCCCCTGCATGGGGTCAGCTCCCTCCAGGCACACACACACGAGACCCCTGGGAAGATCCCAGCACGAAGCTCAGCTCAAGGGTGGGAGCACATTCCTTGAGCAGCCAGGGCAGAGGGATGGATGGATGGCCACTCCACCAGGGTCCTGCCACAGAGGAAATGACTCACCCCCAGCCTTCCTTTGCTGTTCCCTGCCCAGACACTGCCCAAGCTCCTGAAATTTTGCCCCTGGGAAGTTCAGATGCAATCATGAGGTGAGACAAAGCCAGGATGGGATCTGTGGTATTAAGCCCCCTATTTCATCTTAGACTTCCTAAATTCTTCTGACGTAGAAACAGACACAAAGCAGTCCATAAACAAACATAAAATGTCAATGGAATTATGGTTTATTTCTGAGGGGTTTTCCACACACCAGGTGGGTATTTTTTGTTGCATTTGGGTTTCTTTTGGTGTGTTTTTTTTTTTTTTTCCCCCCAATCTTCTTATTTTTGTTTCAGATTTTATTTCCTGGTTTCCCACCTTACTGCATACACTGGCTGTTCCAGAGAGGTAAGGTGGAGTAACATCCCCCAAAGCACACAGAGCCTCAGAAGCTCTGAGTACTGAGTTCAGGAGTGGTGGATGAAGTACTGGGTGTATCCAATAAATGTGCTCATGTCCTGGCTGACAAATGAGTGTCCTGGTGATTTACGGGCAGAGGGAGGAGGGCAGTGCCTGTTCCACACCATGGCAGTAACTGGACTGAGCTCTAAGGGTGTGTTTAAACGTGCTGGCTTCACACTGAGCCCAGCAATGATGGGCTCCAGTGAAATCTGTAGAATCATGGGATATGCTGAGTTGGAAGGGACCCATCAGGGTCAGTGAGTCCAACCCTGCACAGTCCCACCCTGTCCCTGAGGGTGTTGTCCAAACCCTCCTGGAGCTCTGGCAGCCTTGGGGCCATGACCAAGCCTTGGGGAGCCTGTTCAGTGCCCACCACGCTCTGGGGTGCATCAAGCACCGGTGTCAGGGGTCCCAGTCCTGGAATGTCTCCTCCAGGGCAGGCTGGGGACCCTCACTGCTGTGGCAGGGCAAGGGCAGGACCATCTGCACTGGTACCAAGGCCTGGGCACAGCAGGGCTGCAACAGCCACACCAGCACATCTCCCTGCAGTGACCCTGCAGCAGAAACAGCTTAAATAACACTTAGCACTGAACCTGTCCTAGCACTGAACCTGCTCTCAGCACTGAACCTGCTCTCAGCACTGAACCTCTCCCAGCACTGAACCTGCTCCCAGCACTGAACCTGCTCCCAGCACTGAACCTGCTCCCAGCACTGAACCTCTCCCAGCACTGAACCTGCTCCCAGCACTGAACCTGCTCCCAGCACTGAACCTCTCCCAGCACTGAACCTGCTCCCAGCACTGAACCTCAGGTGCTGCACAAAGAGCAGAAACAAGGCTGATGTCATTCCACAGACAGGGAAGACATGAATGGCTCCTGTATCCCATTTCCCAAGCAGGAAGATGGAAGAACAAGAACAGCCATCAGAGGTGTCAGTAAGAAGAGGATGAAGTGCTTTTAAAGAACTTTATGACAATCTTGAGTACAGGTTTGAGTGAGCATTCAAAATCAGACAGAGGTTTTCTCCCTGGAGAGAAAGGAGGAACAGTTTTAATGTCCTGTAGTCAGAGGCAGGGAGAAGGCTGACCCTGTCTCTCTTCATCAGACTCAAGAAGCTTTTAATGTGAAGGAAACCACTTCTGCTGGTCTCTGCTGGGGACTTGTCCCATCACAGCAACAGAAACCAATGTCTATCACTTACTTTATCACACACAGAGGAATTTTTTTAATATAACAGAAACAATGTGGCCTAATTTCCAAAAGGAAATGAAAACTCACTGAATTCATTGCTCTGCATTGGATCAGCATCTGTGTGGAGCTGCTTGAGCAGGAGCCAGGCTCAGCAGGGGATTTAAGCAAGAAACACCTGCTTGAGGTCACCCAACAAAGGTGCTCTCAGCTGCTTTTCCCCATGTTTACTGTGTTAGACATGA